CTTTCCCATCAATGCTGTTTCTTCCCACCATCCAAGTATTCCACACACTCTTCCCCTCTCTCCCCCCCTCCTTCCCTCGACTCAACCCCAGAAACCAGGTAAGGAATATTATAGTAGCCTTCTCTTTCCTACTCCGAAACCACCTCCAGAAAGCCTTCTAAACTGAAAGCTTACAATGCCTAATCTTTAAATTTATGAACCAGGAAAACCCCATACCACAGATCTCTAAACATGGCTGAATCTCTCGGACCCGAAGCGATTCAAGCGCTTGGTGAGTAGTAATCTTGCGCGAGGACAATCTTTCTTCAAAAGTTATAATTATATAGTTACATCACCAACCCCCCGATTGCTTCTTTGTAGAGTTGATCGACAAGCACCGACGCGCCAGCAACAACGATCTCTACCGCCAAGCCATCCAACGAGAGTCAGAGATGGCTCTGTTTGTGGACACCAAGTCGAAACTGGCCACCTTGCGAGAAATCGTGCAGAGAGATCTTGGCTACCCCGTTACTGTCAAGCACCCCCGACTTGCCTACTTGCGCGACAACGCTGTCGGTGCTCCGATGAAGAATCTTGGCACTCCTGCCACCCCGCACCATGATGCACAGGGACAACTTGCTCGCCCCGAGTCTCGTGTTTTGCTCATCTTCATCAGCCTTTCATATGCTGTTCTTTTCTACCTTCTCCTTTCATACTTGTTTTAGATATTTTATCTACTACCATTGATTCTTTCATACATCTTTTGTATTTTCATCTTCACTCCTTCGAAGAATTCTTTTCCCATCTCAAATTCATCTTATTTTTATTCAGAACTGTATCATTTATAACTCATCTTCGCTATGAGTGAACGCTCAAACCATGCGATCCTTGCAGATACAGGTTCTGCAGAACTTGCCTTGATTGGCTATTGTTGAGAAGAGGAATCTCTTTCACCATCGCTGCATCGATGAGGATACGGTAAGGCGTACAGGATAAGAACCTAAGAGCAGCGCGTCTTCTTCTGACATCAAGTCACATGATGGATATAAAAACCAGATCCTCATTCACAATTCTCGAAGCGGGATAAATCAACATGGATACTGGCGCTGCCACCCGGCCAATCCCAAACGATTCCTTGGAAGATAAGCTCATCCGATTGCTGATAAACCTGGACAACAGGGACAATTTGTGATTCAAGATACAACCTTGGCACAGAAGGTAGCGGCCGTGGTACTCAAGTGATGCCCGGAGAGAATGGCCATCATGATTGTGAGACGTTTGCGATGGAGGCTCTCGTCCTTGAGAATTGACAATTTGACCTCGCGAACGATGCGGAGGTACGGAAACCCCGCGCATACATAATCAGTCGGATCGACGTCGAACCCTAATCTCGACCATTTTGCATAAGCCGAAGCGAAGATGCATATGACACAAGTTTTTGACATCCACAGCAACACAGCAGACTCCATCCAGAAACAACCCTCAAAGTCAACCAACACCACAGGAGACTGCATAAACACTCAACCCAAGAAGCATTGAAGAAAGACAGCAAGAAGGAACTTAATCTCGAAGATGGCTGTTCGGTGTCGATTTGAATCCTCCTCAGACGTCGGTGTATTTGCCAATCTCACAAATTCGTACTGTCTGGCCTCACTATCCACTGGCTCAACCAACTTTTACTCGACTTTTGAATCTGAGCTTAGTGAGGTCATTCCGGTGATCCATACCACGATTTCAGGGACAAGGATCATCGGGAGACTCACTTGTGGTGCGTCCGAATTTTTCACTCCCTTGAAGGCCGCAAACCAAAAAAAAAAAAAAAAACACGACAAGTATGTGACGTATTAGGTTGATGTTGGCGTTTTTTTGCTTGGTCATGGCAGGCAATCGGCATGGTCTCTTGGTCCCCGCCACTACCACCGATCAAGAATTGCAACACCTGAGAAATTCGTTACCTGACAGCGTGGCCATGCAGCGGGTAGAGGAGAGATTATCGGCTTTAGGAAACGTGATAGCGTGCAATGATTATGTAGCACTTGTCCAGTCAGTTCCTCTCCCCGAGGCGCTATCATTCACCTCGATGTATATCTTTGATCTGAACTAATAACTTCATTCGATCTTCAGTCCCGATATCGATAGAGAAACCGAAGAGATCATTGCAGATGTCTTGCAGGTCGAAGTCTTCCGTCAGACGGTTGCAAACAACGTACTCGTAGGATCCTATTGCGCACTCTCAAATCAAGGTGCATTGGTACACCCAAAGACAAGTATCCAAGCTCAGGACGAGCTGAGTAGCTTGCTTCAGGTTCCCTTGGTTGTAAGTCATTTTCATTCGCCATAAAACTGTTTTAAAAAAGAGAAATAATCATGTTTTGCGTGTATATGTGGCGTGCTGATATTTTCTGAACTTGCTCTAGGCTGGGACAGTCAACCGAGGATCAGACGTGATTGGAGCCGGCTTGGTAGTCAACGATTGGTGTGCATTTATCGGGTAAGTTTTCTCCTGGAGGTTGCTTGTAAAAATGACATGAGATGTGAACTTACCATCATTGACCAAACTCCCTCTCAGCTTGGACACATCGGCCACAGAAGTCTCGGTGATCGAGGCGGCCTTCAAGCTACAAGGCCAAGACACATCAGCTATTGCGGGGATGCGGGACACGTTGATCGACCAGTTTGCATAAACATTTGTAATCCGAAACTTCCAACTATCATCCCCTCTGAAGGTCGCCAATCGAAGTATGAAGAATCGTATCAATTTATCCTCACACCTCGCTTTGATTCCGGTATAGCAGTATTTTACGCATCCCTCGTGCGCTTTAATGAATGTCCCAAGTCCAGATTTCGCCCTCCATGTGACCAAGCAACTCTTTTTCTTCACTATCGTGTCCAACAACCTGATCACCTTGAGATAGCCGGGTTATCCCAAGCGTGTCTATATGAGCCTGGCAGTATCATTTGACTTCAAATGCGCTCCCAATCTCACTTTTTGTAGTCCAACTACATGTATGCGCGGCGATGGCGCTGACTTGAGGTTGGACCGTCCGATAAGATCATGATTGGAGGAATCGAAGACTTGGTGTCGCGTGGTCAACTGCGTGTACCCTAGTCGCCTCGCCGTTCTTTCCCATTCAGTGGGAGACTCCACTCAGAGTCATCAACATGATCCGGAGAAACCCCTCTTGGCTACGCGACTCTTTCAATAAGGCACATTTATTTCCATGCCTTGCAACGTCGATCAGCTGCAGAACTGCCTGCTTCTATGTCACTTATAAATAGAAAAAAGGCCTCGGCTCGGACCTAGGCCCACAAGGTGTCACACCGGTAGAGCTCTGTTGCCCACGTTCCGCAGGACAGCTGGGGTCCGCGGATGGACTGCCGTCGGGCCTCATTCGAGCAGTCCCAGCTCATGCTCCAGACCCGCAACAATTTCTTCATCCAAGAAAAGACAGCTCAGGCTAGGGTCCAAGCGGCCTCTGTCCGATTGCGTGTCCGCATGCATGCAGCTTGAGGGCTAATGTATGGTCCTATTGGCTGGTCGCCCTAGCCCTTCGGTCTCAGCGCATACAGCAGTGTTTTTTTGATAGTGAGGTGCAGATCAAGGTGCTGGTACTCAGCCGGCTCGACCAGGAGGTCAGAGCTTCTATCTCCTCCATCCTGTACTGGCTCTTGGACACGCTTCACCGATTCAAACTGTCTAACCTGCGAGCTCGCCAATTCTGGAAAACACCGGATACATCAAGTTCTGATTTTCCCATCTAGTGTAGCTGAGGGCGGCGGGGATTCATGCCCCGGTAGCCGTATGCAGATAGTCAAGTGGAACCTCCCACTCACAGATTATGCGGAGGATGATGGGAGTTCGTGGCTCCCTTGGGGACCTGCATGGATCTTTTTTCCATCTTTCTCAAGCAAGGTGCTGTCTGCTGAGGGAAAAAAGTGTGAATCCGTCTTGCAACTGCCACCAGGTTGAGATGCCGAGCAGGAGTCAATCGGGTGAGGCCAGTGCTGATTTTGTGGTGTTATAATTGATCATCTATTGTGCCTCGATGCTGTAGAGCTCACTGACCCCAGACCCAGATAAAAATCGACTTGATCTAGCCGCCATTCTTTAATACCTCAGGAGAGCCTGCTTTAAGTAGTTAATTATCAGACAGACTGGTGCCTTCTCCTAGAATAATACGACCACTGATCCATTTCGTCAACTGACTTGCCCCTGTTGGAAAGCTGACCATTAGCTGTTACGATACATATACGACAAATCTCCTCGGTACGTTTGCTCTATCTCACTCACATAATTAACCATAAAAGCTAAAGCTTACCCCAGTGCCACCCAACCTTTTATCCCTTATTCCCACTTGCTTCCACTGTAGAACAACACTTCCGTCTCTCCCAGAACCTACATACTTCGCCCTTGAATTAATTGATATCCACGAGTTGACTCGAGCAACTGGTCCAGCAGTCTAAACTCTTCTTCTCCAATTTCCACAACTCAGAACCGAGCTTTCTAACGTAAGCCATCTTGTTATTCGATCAGATATCCCGAGAAACCCACACAATACTGACCCCTTAATCAATCAATTACTACAGGCGAGTCAACCAACTCAACACTTACCAATTTCACAATGCCTGGCTTCATCCAATCCATCAAATCACGTCTGCCTCAGTCCCCATTCAGTCCTCCTAAGCAGAGTGTACCTGCCCTTCCTTCGGTTGACTCCGCGGAACCTGTTGAAGAGGCCGCGCAGCCAGCTGAACAGCCCTCGGCTGAAATCCTGCCAGCTGAAGCACTCATTGCGCCCAACTCCTCAACTGTGGCCTTAACGCTTACGCCAGTTACAGGGCTGTCTAGCCAACAGACATTCGATGACGTCGAGGCACCTGAACCTGGTAAGAGAATATTCCAAACCTGGTTTTTTAATAATCCCTTGCTCACTTGCTACTCTCACAGCAGCTTCTGCTTCGGCTGAAGAGTCGGCCACGGAACCTGAGTCGTCCACTCAACCTGAAGTCGCAGCTCCTGACGTGGAGGAAGCTCCTCAGCTTCCAGAGACAGAGCCATTAGCTACCGTGTCTCCCGCTGTTGAAGCCGAGGAACCCGTAATCTCGGTACCAGACGTTGCTGAAGCGGTGGTTGCCCCTGAGGTTTCAGCCATCGAAACTCCTACGGAGACCATCTCCGCTCAGCCGCTACCGGCTTCGATTCCATCCGAGCTTCCCACCACGAG